ACAAGACCCCGCTCGAGGCACGCAGCTCTATACGTACCGTCCGCGCCCGGCTGATCAGAGACCGGAGCAAATCCTTAATGCTGTTAGCTTTGTTTCTTTGGAAAATCACAGTGGCTTGAGTATGGCCAGTCACCGTGAGCAGCGGCGTCCCAGGCCACCCCAGCTCCAGCTCTGGAGGGTGCACATCAGACATGAGTGGAAAGTAGGTGCCAGACGTTAGTTCAGAGTCAAGGGAGGACCTGTCTCCAGTGTCCGCATCGCCAGGGTCAGCCTCTTTGTCCTTCATTGCACTGGGATCTGGAAAGCTTTGGTTCCTCTGATGGCTCATATATTCCATGTCCAGGGTGGAAAGAAACGGCAGCTCCCGTTCCTCGGCGATGGCACTCAGGTAGCCGCGCTCCCCCTGCTCCAGAAAGGCGTCTATGGCCAGCCTGGCTGTTTCACTGTGCTGGAGCACCAACGGGGTGGGCTCCCTCCACCACGGCTTCTTCAGCTGCTCCAGGCGGCTCTTCAGAGGCCCAGACACCCCTTGCTGGCTCCCAAAGCCGCGGTGGAACTGGGGTCTCACCTCTACTGCCAGGTAGTTGAACATGACCGGAGCTGTCGATGCTAAGAAGTGCCTCTCCAGCTGGATTAGTCCTCTGTCCGACTCCAGGTCTTGTCTGGCCCTCTTGCACACCTGAGCTCCTCCCAGCAGGTTCCTTCAAGACTCAGCATGAGCTCCACTCCTGCTTGGGAGTTAATCACCAGGTACAGCCTCCCACTCCGGGGGAGGAGCTGGCCTTCCCCAGCTCCCGCACACACCTGGTACTTGGTGCTTAGAGTATCCCTTTTGCAAGGAGTGGAAGATCAGCTCTTCAAGCTGCTCCTTCCCTTTCCTCGTACCTGATTCACGTACTGCCCTCCCCTTCCCTGCTGAGAGGTCCCCACCCTTGGCCAAGCAGGCTCTAACCTGTTTTGTCCTTCGTTGTGCTCACAGTGGAAATGTAGATGCTGAAACTTGTTCCTGCTTGAAATTTGTTCCAAATCAAACATGCTTCTCGGTGGCAGTTATAATGAAACACAAATATCCCAAGTGGGGAAATCAGACTCGGCCAGGAAACTTATTCATCCCTGAACCACAGCTAACGCTCCTCCTTAGCGTTTCTCAAGAGCCTGGGCTCTGCTAGACTGGCACCTGGCAGAGAAGCCGAAACACCATCTTTTTTGATATCACAGGCTCATGGGGTTTGTATGAAGCACAACAGGAATCTTAGCACAGCTCCTGTCATTCGCTACCACAGGCTACAAGAGCAATAGCTCCTGTGGTCTTTTATCATCTCCCTGGAAATCCTTCAAGGAAGGGACATTCAACCTTAGGAGTCTGGTGCCACGTGAATGACAATACTGTCCACGTGCTGTGCACTTTGGGATTCGTTAACTCCAGCTTCCCAAAAGCATCTTAGAGCTATTTCTGGAGAGACAATGCAGGCAGATGTTAATGTGCAATTCAAAATGCTGTGTTAGGAGCACACCACCCACAGCACAACGCAGCACATGAAAAATCGTGCGCAGGAGGCACGCAGGAGTCCCCGGACTGCAACGTGGACCTCCTCCACCCCGTTCTGCTCACTCACCCTGGAGCTACTAAACCCCACTGAGGCTAACCAGAGGATGAAGAACTGGCTGGAGAGTTGATCTAATTAGCCAGCCTTTTATCTACAAGTTACAAAATCCCTGTAGACTAAATTCATTCAGGCTACATTGTCATCTAGAAGCTAAATGTCTGCTAATAATCACCAGGCTATAGCCCCTGGAGACAGCCATGCCTAAGTGTGAACCAGCACGTTCAGACACAAAGTTCTAAGTCAGCTGGAATCAATCATGTCCCCAAGAGACTCCATGGAGTACCACTGGAGTGGGATGATTAGTTTAGGTTAGTTGCCTACTCTTTAGATCCCTGGAGAACGAACCCTTACCTGGACTGTGCAAACTGCAAGAACAGAAGCAAAGGTACATTTGATCAGAAAATTTCAGTTGCCTGCCAGAGCTGTGCTGCAAAGCAGCACGCAGGTGCAGAGTTGGCAGCTGTGGACAATAGATATGGGACAAAATTATAATAAAGATGGTGGCATAGAAGTGCTACAGGTGTAAATAAGTGTTAGAGCGGCTTAAAGACTGTCATTAGCTCAAAACGTGAGGTGAACAGCCAAACACAACGTCAGGAAGTTTGAGGAAAAATCAAAGGGAAGGGGTTATAACATGATGGGCCTTTTTCTGGAGCTGCTTTGCCAGGATGATAACATCACCTTGGTGATAACATAAAAGAAGGGTAACATCACCCTAATTTTCGCCTTCCTAAAGAGCTGAAAAGAGTGTGAAATTTAAAAAAGTCCAACACGTGTTTTCTGCCAGATAAACAACTGCTGATGATTCTTTAAAGTAAAGGGATTTCCACTGTCTTCCAGCTGGTGTTTGGCAATGATCTGCTCTCCCTCCAGTAACTTTTCATGGACCTCAGCACATGAAAGCACGTATGATGTAAACACCTCCAGCCAAGCTTGTCAGGCTGGGCTTCCTCAGCGTCGGTGGGGAGAGGCAGGGATTGCCAGGGAGTCAGTTCCCTCACCCTGCAGCAGCCATTGAAACAGGTCAGATGAAACGTGCCCTGGAAGTGCTATCCATGATTCTATCTCTCTCTGCTGAGCAGGAGGAGAGCTCAGGCTGCCGAATCAGTGACAGGGGATTACCATGCAGATATCTGAAATTAAATGAGAGGTATTCTGTCCCTGCTGTCTGGCAGGGAGATACATGTCTATAATTAGGACTCCACAGACCCTACATCCAGGCCAGCGCAGGATGTGGGAATCACATCAGCCAATTTTTGCCAGCTAAAAGCAAGGATCTCATCTGGAAGTGTTGTCTACACACCTTCAGCCATCAACAAAGACAGACAAGGGGAAAATTCCCTCTGGCTAAACACACATACCAAGTCCCCCTTCCAAGTCAACGTCCCTAGGCAGCTCTACTCTGGCTGATACCTCAGCTCCGTCAGGATCCAAGCGTTAGGCAATACTTCAGTCTCAAGTCCCACTACAGATGTTCTTGGAGCTCACCAAACACAAAACACCTTGCCTGGGCTTTCCACAAAATGTACCTGCTGCTTCCTTTTCAAGCATAAACGGGAGGCATCCTGCCAACCTGTTTCTTGATAGTACGGTTCTTGGAGAGCATTCACTGGGAACACAAGAAGCCAGATTTGCCTTTTCCCCCCAGCTCTTTATTCTGGACTGAAATCCACATCTTCCACCACAAAACGTTGTGGTGCTCAAACACACTTATCTACAGGCACTTCTGGAAGGCATCTGCATAGCACGTTCACTGTGCAGAATTCACCGGCCAGATGCAAAGAGCAAGCGCAGCCAGATGAGAAAAGTCCAAATTTGAGTGACTGCACTGAGATCTGTGTCAGCCCTGAACTCACAGACACGGCAGTGCGAAGTCAAGGCACCCAGATTTTGCCCCGAGGCTCCTGACCATGGCATTACAGAATCATTCTTCTGAACACAGCGGCAGCACACAAATTCCTTGTTTCATTTTTTTCTGTTTCTATATTAAGACTCTTCCAAATCAGAGGAGAGACAGCTTTGCACCCACTCAGCTGCAGGAGGGCACTGGACACCAGTTGCCAGCTATAGGCCAAACAATCTAACCACCAGCGATGGCAGGGCAGTTAGACGACTCTACCTCCTCCACTGGCTCCCTGCTCAGCGGTGTGCCCAGCATGTAGGTTCTTTCCAGTTGCTGCTCTGAGGTCCCTACCACCCACGTGCCATGTAGGGAAGCCGATGTGTGGCCATGGAGCCGCTCTGATGGCCCTTCAAGGGTCCAGCCCTGAGCTGCTCAGGGTGACAATTCACAGCTGTCATGAGAAGGACCACCATGTGCCTCTTCCCTAGGCTACTGAAATATAAAAAAGCACTTTCAGACACTTCCTCCTCCCCTTCCAAATGAAATACACAGAAATAGAACCAGGCATTGTAACATCAATGGGTCTAGTTACCAGCAGGAAGAGGGTATGAAGGGAAGGATGTGGGACAATGAGCAAATCCTCATAAGACACCTGGCTTTGACAGGATGTGGAGCAGCCCAGGAGGCTGGCAGGTGGGAGGAGGAATGAATGAGCCCAGCTCACTCTTCTAGTCAGTGACGTAACTGTTAATGAAGGCTTTGCATGTGCAAGAATCCTTGCTTCCTAAATAAGCATGAAGGAGCTCTTACCTCCTGGGAGAGCTGCAGTAGCACGCCAACACCAATGGGATCCATCCTTGGCAACATGTTGCGGGGTCCTCCTACACGAACATACCTGCACAAGACAGTAAGAACAGGACAGTAAATGTTTCTGGATCTTGTACGCAAGTGCAGGAAATTGTTTACCCTAGTCTGCCCCTGGCCCCTCAAGCAGATCTACTGCCCCTCGACCTAACTCCCTGGCTGCTCCCAGCACGTCACATCTGGAGCAGCCACTGAAACGCAACAGCGGAAGGTGGAATCGTGCTTGTGTGAGCTCCTGCTCTGCATTCCCAGTGGAAGGATGAGGCCCAAACATCTCTTCTGTCCCACAAATGAGCAGAGCAAGCTGTTGAGCAGGTTGAATGACTGTAAGCAAAACAAGTACTCCCTCAACATGTTCAGCAACTTCAGGAAGAACACACGTAGGATGCACAGGACAGTCCTAGACACCAGAAGAAGGGGCAGTGGTAAAAAAAAGCTCACCAGATGAGGCTGGGAAGGATCACAAGACGTTAATATGCAACTGTTCCGTCGCAGCGCAGGAGACCACGCAGCCCACAGCACCAGTAGGTGGTACTCCCTTTGCAGGCAGAGAAGCGGATGCTTCACAAGCACAGTACAATTGTCTAAGCAGCAGAGCCGAGCCTACCACTCACTCACATTGAGCCTCAGGGTCTTTCCTATGTCCTTGACATCGTTCCCAGGCTCCCGTGTAAGCTTCTGCCCTCTCCTTGACTTTTCAGACCTTCAGGTAAAGACAGACAGCACTGAGGGCCAGGCTGTGCAGACACAACATGCCCAAAAGATGGAGATGTGGCATGCTGCAGAGTGGCAGAAGTACCATCACCCAGACTGTTGGGAGAGGTGTTAATCCAGCCGTAGGACATCAAAGGCCCGGTCAAGCCTGACACAGCACTGCTCAGCAGAAAGAGCAGGGCACAAGTTTATCACCATCTCTTGTAGAGAAAAAGTCTTGATTAGAGTTTATTATACAAGAAGACAACAGAGAACAGACAAAGCGAGGCAAACGGGAAGTCGCAGGTGGGAGGGCAGGAGTCTAGACAGGGGGGTGTCTACTAAGAAATTAGCTGTCACCAACATTGTCCAAAAAAACCCCACGTACTAGGCTAAGACCACAACCAAACATCTGCACTGGGGCCTGAGAAGCTGGAGAATGTCACAACAGATGACCGCTGTATTCGTGACATAACTGTTAGCAGAAGAGTTAGAAAGACATTCAGTAATTTCTAGGTATTTACGTGAACATTTAGGTCTCCCAACAGTGGTATTTTCATCTTACTGGAAAAAAGCACACACAGCCCAGTTCTGGAACTCAAGACGAGCAATGAAGTGTTCATCTTACCTGTAGAGGGGATCAGCAAACTTCTCCAAATATTCTAACAGTACTTCAGTGCATCTCTGGAACACAGACAACCTTTGCTACATGCTCAGGATTAAACTGGTCCCACAGGAACACTACCAATAGACTGCAGCAGGTCTACGTAGAGTCGAATTTCTGAAGGAAGACCTCCTCTGCAGGGTTTTGGAAGTAGAAGAGCGTGGAAAAACACGAGTGCAGGTCACAGGGTATGGTATAGCTCCCACTGCTCCTCAAAGTGGTGTCATGCAGTGGCACTCATGGCGGGGACCACGCTTGCAGAACCAGTCGCCATCCCCTCCCATGGCTTTGCTATTCTTCATCTACTCTACGTTCATTTAAGTTAAAGCTCTGGTGAAAAAATTGCTCTCACTCAGTCTCCAGGTTCTGTTTACCTTATTTGCCAAGCCAAGGGCAGGGTAAGTGGGACAAGTCAGTGGTTAAGTCCAACTGCTATGGCAGGCGCAGCAATTCTGACCTGAGGGCTCGGGTGGCAGAAGCATGACTAAAAACTTCACTTTGTGGAAGGTGAGGAGTCAGAAACCTGAGAAGTGGTAACTGCACTTCAACAAGGCTTAAGCACCTGGACAGTACAGGAGATGTGGAGATCATCAAGGATGCCTGTGCTCTTAGCACTTTAGCTGTTCAAAGAAGCAGGAGAAAACGTTAGATACAAATACCAAAAGGCGGCGTGAACGCAGAAGCTGTGATGACACAGGAAAACATTTAACCACTTCAAATAGAAAGTAGGCATGGAAGGGTATCAGATGACTTTCCCTCCGCTACGAAATGTCTCAGAACATCACTCTGAAGCAAGAGACTTCCCAAGTTTGACTCTGTGGGCAAACCATGCACCTACCCTCCCACCAGTGCAAAACAGCAGAGAAGGAAGGGAAGACACTGAACGTTGGCCCTTCCTTTCCCCTCACAGAAACAAGAAAGCCAAGATCTAGGTGAAATAATGAGTGCTTCCTAGAGGCTCATGTCACTTGATTTTAAGACACCTGGGAAAGTTGGGGGAATGAGTCCTTTGGAATAAGAATTGACAGCCAAATAGTGTATATGAGACAGCAGATCAGCTTGGATGATCAAGTGCTCAACATGGCACCTTCTAGAAGAAATGCATATGCTTAAAATTCACTTAAAATACAGTGATGCTCTGAGACCACTGTCAAAAAACCCAGCAGCAGAAACAAAGAACTGTCCGTAACCGAAACACCTTCAACTGTTCCCTCTGCAAAACCTCGAAAATGGGAAAAGATGGGCTTTATAAGGTTTGGTTAAAAAGCCTCGTGTTGTGCTGCACCTGAAGCAGTTCTGTGCGTAAGAATCACTTTTCACTGCTAATTGTTGCTGCTGTAATGCTTGCAAGGTGCAGATTTTGCTACTGAAAACACATTCTCTCTCAAGGACTCCAAATCCTGCTTGTAAAGATGTCTTATACAGAAGATATTGGCCATGGCATGTGCCTAACCTATTGGCATGCACTTCTCAAGAGGAAGAGGGGTCACATTCTACATCCAAATCCTGTCTCCAGGTAACTAATGGCTGGGAAGCAAAGTCTTCCCTTGTCCTACATAGCCTCCGGTGTATTTTCCCTCTCTAACAGATCATCCTTTTAATTCATAGACAGTTTCTGCCTTATTCTCTGAACAGGCCCCACAGACTTTCTGTCCAAAACACACCCTGACTGCTGGCTCAGCTCTGCAACAGCGGGGTGGTGGAAGGCGCTTTATGGAACAAGCAGAGCGCCGTGATCATAGGTCTTTATTCTCATATTAATAGAAAGTGCAAAAGCAGATGCCAACGACCACAATCCAGCACCACGGCTTCTGGAGCCTCCCGCCCATGAACACAGGAAAGGGTTCAATTTCGACCACGTGGATGTCTCATACGCAGAGGACAAAAGGAATTGTCATCTCCAGACAAGTGGTACCGTGAAGTCTACCAGCTCGCTGGCTTCACAGCATCTGCACCGCGGACACTGCACCTCGTAGTACACTCTGACCAGTGCACAGCACGAGGTTGGATGGTGGTGTACTCCCGGTCCTGCGTTCCCATGGCATGGATAACACAGGTCCAGGTTTAAATTACACAGCAGGAAAGGGGTTAAAGTTTAAATGACTGTTTTGTATATGAATTAATGTATGTAGCTTTGAGCCAAAATATCTACCATTAATTTTTCCACCTATTTCAGGAGCAGTAAGATACACAAAGTAAAGTTTGTTTTGGTACTTGGTATACTTCACCCTCATTAAAAATAAATTAATCAGCAAATTCCTACACAGCTCAGCCTTCTTTTATGTAAATACAACCCAGCTGTAATGAATTACAAGGTGTTATTATCTCACACACACTGTATAATACTTCACACATAAGAGGTTTCTCTGCTTAGCTCAGCTTTCAACAAAAGCATCTTAAATAAACTGCAAGCAAGTTGTTTGGTCTGTAATGTTTTCACAGAGAAGGGATACACCTCACACATAGAGGGTTTCTTTACATGACTCATTTTATAACAAGTTAAACTGAGGAAGTTCGTCTTGGAAAAAAAATAACAAAATACCTTTTTTATACAAAGAAGGCTCCCTAAGAGAAGATTAAAAAAAAAAAAAAAGCAAGCCGGCGTTTGGGAGCCTCCATTCTGCATCCCACTGCTCTTTACACAGCAAAGGGATGTCAAATATTCCCCAAAACACACAATGTGAAGAAAGCAACTTCAGAAGGAAGAACAGTCACAGGCAGGCAGGCACAGTCACACTTTCACCGGATTAAGGATTCACAATTTAAGGATTAATTTCACAAATTAAGGATTATCACCTTCAACATTTGTTTCACAGTTTTATTAGGAATAAATCCTGGTATTATTGGGCTTATCCTTATCGAAAGCGCACATGGCACAGAAAACCACACAGGCATCAATTTTACCCAGACTGACATTTATTATTGACAAGGATTTTACACAGGAGAGAAATGAAAACTGGTTTTGTCACTGACCTGGAAATAGCCTGGTGATCCATCCACCTACGCAGCACACCTCAGCCTCTGCTGATTTAACCAGTGGAGCTCTTGCTCCTGTCATTTTCCTGCACAGCCATATAAAGTTTTCACTGGGGTTGACAGGTCTTGTTAAAAAGCCCCAGACCACTGCTTTGGGGGACGGAGGATAGCATAGTCCTGTCCCATTAAGAGCCGTGGACAGAAACAGGGATGTTCTTTTCACAGAGAAATTCTCAGACCACAACTCTAAAAAGAATATGGAAACACCAGCAAGGCAGGCTGGCACACCAAGTCCTCTGCGGCAGCTGTTAGTGGCAGACCTGCCACGTCTTGGACTTCCTTCTCATTAAGAGGGCTGGGGTCACAGAGGATTACTGCAGACTGTGCATTGTTCCTTGCATCCTCCTATCCTTGTGCAACAGAGCAAAGAGTTCCTAAAAAGGATTTTCACAGAAAACCCTTCAGAATCTGTTAAAGCAATTCTTAACTCCACTAAAGCAAAATTAGACTATTCCATCTTGATATCAGGCTTTTAAAATACATTAATATCTACTATGCAAAGCTCAGGTTTGCATTCACAACCATTCGGTGAGCAGAGGAACACCGCTGTGTCTCTGTGCAGCTGCTCTCCAATCGAGGCAAGGGTCAGAAATGTCTTCTTGACATAACTCTAAGTCATGGTAAAGTGTCTGGTTTCCTAAAGACAGAAGGCAGGTCTTCCAATTTGTCAGCAAGGACCACTCAGTGCCATAAAAACGACAGAGGTTCTCAAACCAGCTAGCATTTATTTGTGGGTGAATATTCAGAAGAGTATGGCTGTCCAGTTTGCCACTGAGTCACCACGGATAGGACAGCTAATTAAATATTTTCTTTTCAACGGCACATTTGCCTTCCTGACCCCACAACCTCAGCCCAGCCCAATTCCAGGCACGTTTCTCGAGCTGATCCGACAAATCCACAGAAACGTCAGGCACCGGCGCTCTCAGAGTCCCTCGTCGTTGTACACAGGGGAGAGGGGCTTGAGGATGCTGCGGGCGTTGCTCTCCACCAGCGGCCGCCAGCTCACCTCGCCCGTCAGCAGCAGGTCCTCCCCGCTCAGCGCATCCAGGTGCTGCACCTGCAAGGACAGGACGTTAGTGCAAGGTGTCCCATCGCCTGTGGGGGTTCCTCAAGGGCTACGCAGACACGTCGCTTTGCAGAAAGCAAGTGGAACAGGGAGACTTCAGCATACGTTGCCATCTGAGGTAGACCCAACGAGATAATTTATGATGCTTAGGCATCATGGAAAGGCTGGGAGATAAGTATCTGCAGATCCACTGGAGTTAACTGCGCGAGGTCTAACGCTTCCTCTGAGAGTTTCGCAACAGGACAGAGAAAAGCCACGCGAAGGAAACGTAAGTAATTTTATCTTCCCGGCAGTCAATTGAGATGACACACTGCTACCACCATCATCAACACAAAGTGCTTTTCACTACAGAAAAAATGCCTGGCCAGCAGGGAACACCCTGAGATGTATAATACAAAAGCACATGAGCTGGAGGTGAACATGGAATGAACACTCATTCTCGCAATACAAGAAATACTTGGGATCAAATTAAATTCTAAGGTGCAATGTAAGCAAAATAAAAAAAAACTCTTGTCACACAACAGAGGGTTAACTTGCTGCCACAGGACACTGTAAATGGGAGGGTGGGGGTGGAGGAGAAAATAAAAAGAAAAAAGTCCATCAAGGGTCAGTAAAAAACAAAACCACCATCTCCGGCTCAGGAAGTCTGCGAAGACAGATCCCTGGGAGAGCTGACCAGGGAAATGGTATCCACGCTCGCCCTGTTACTGTGTTCTTCTCTGGCATCCACCAACAGCCACTGCTAAAGACAGGATCAGCGAGAAATTGTGGGAAAGACCTGGTTCATAATGCTTACTGGAAACAAAAGATAATCTGACAAGGAGGAAAGAACACACCAATGGCCACAGAAGGTCAGACCGAAGAGCCACCTAAACACAATACCCTGTGCTTCTGGCAGGCACCAACAGTGGATTTTCCCTCCCTATCAGCATTCGTCAGTTGGGGGATTTTGAGCCTAAAGTGGTGGCTGTGGATTTAATAGTCCTGGACAGACTCTCTTCCATAAACTTGCCAGTGGCTTTGGAACCCATGTGCAACTGCAGCATCCCAACCAACCTGTGGCAACGTTATGTCCCCATGTTCTTCTATCAGTGAACAGACTTTCCTTGCTCACCTTTCACATGCCTTTGAGATTTCCCAGAGCTGTCTCATTCTTTCTCAGCTGCTTTTCAGGCAGAGGATCCTACTCACTGCTTATAAAGGAGCTCTTTCATGTCATCCTTACTGCTCTCCTGAGTCTTCTTCAGTTCCATTTTTATCTTTCTTGATGGTCAGAACCCAACCACACACATTATTCAAGATCACAAGGGTACCATGGATTTAAAAAGTGGCATGACAACACTATTTTATTCTCTATTCCTTCCTTAGTAGTTCTGAGCATGCTTTACTTTTTTTAAGCACTATATTTTGATAAAACAATTAAAATCTCAAGGACTCAATCCTGTGTCATACAGACAGTCTGGAGCTCATCAATACACCTATAAAGCTGGGACTGTTTTTCTCAAGTGCATCACTGTAGAGTCGTCTATAGGAATGACCTGTCTTCACAGAAGCTGCTTCTTCCCCAGTGCACCACATTTATCTGTGATTATTGTTTCCTATTCGACCGCTGAGAGCTTCCATCCTATCCTTTGCTTGAATATACACAAGTGCAACAAATTCTCCACTTGGCAAACTGTCCCAAATTACACACTTTTTGTATGTACTTCCTCCTTGCCAATCTTCAGTTTTAAATTTCCTAGAGCTTCGCTGATGTTAACCATCAGCAACTTTAAGCACTAAATGAAGTCTTTCCTTCCTGAGGAGCCCTGCAGCACTCCAATAGTGTCCTCAGTCCCTCACAAAGTTCAGCCCGTTACTTCCCATATCATTTTCCCAGACATACACTGAAATACTGTCTCTCCAAATCTGTATCTGGTTCTGAATATAGTATTGGAAATACTACAGAGAAGGCTGCTGTGGAGGTTGCTGTGCTGGTCTTCAATTCCCTGTCCAAAAAAAAACTCCGGAACATCTCTCACTCTTTTCTGTCTTTGGTACCCACCTGGACTATATCCTACCAACGCTTCCTACGCTTCCTAGAAACCTCTTCACAAACCGCCTCAGGGTTAAGAGGACAAACACTACTTAATATTGTTTCCTCCAGACAATAACTGAGAGAAACAGAAATCATTCTGGAAAGCAAAATCTTTTACTACTTTTCCACAAAGATCATCAGGAGACTTTCAAGCTTTGTGTCCTACTTCATTGTGAAGAGGATCCCAACTCAGCAACACCAATTATAACTCTACAACAAGTTGCAGCTGATTTCTGACACATTTTGTCAAGCCCCTCCATAGTGTAGGTCCAGAAAAAGATGAGCAGGATTGCTTTCAATATTCCATGAATTGCTCTGCAGCTATTTTTCACCAAACTGCAATAAATATCAGCCAGTTTTTATATTTTTACATTTTTGTCACACTATGAGCTGTAGTTTACCTGTTTGCGCACATATTCTACGAGTAACTCCAGATGCCGAGGGTCCTCACAGTTCTTGTTAAAAAGGTTTCTCCAAAGAGCAGCTGCCAGAACACGATCATCAGACAAGATTCCCTAAAGTAAGTACAGAGAGGGATTAAAAACTGCACGTGAAGAGGGTCTGAACACAAGACAACCACATCGTTCTACTTAGCAACTGACAGCATTAGCTGTCTCAAACCACAGCTGCTATGGGCTGTACATATGAAAAGGCATCAACGTTACTCCTTCACAGAATGGAAAAACAACCCTGGCCTTAAATTAATTTACAGAGCAGCCCGTAACAAATATTCTGGTAAGTCCATTTGGAAAACAACCTGGGTCAGGGTATTCCTAATTTAGGAGCATTTCTAAGTTATTAAACCTTTACTATAAAATTTTGGCCTTACAGAGAACACAGCATCACCTCACAGAATTGTGAGAAGTCCACGACACTTGGAAAAGAAAAATTAAAGGGTATTTAGTACAATGTTGCAGAAATGTAGTCAGGACTTTGCTTTTTTTCTTTGCTTTTCTATTTCTCATTCTAAATGAGAAAGAGAGAACTCCTCCTCATCAAGATCTAGATTTTTCCAGTTAAATCCAATATTAAACTTGGCTTATACAAGAATCACATCCATGAGCGCTTTTTGCCTAAATTCTCTCCCACTTTTATTGTGTTTTTAGATTACGTGGTGTTATGACCATAGTCTCGTAACTCCTGTCTTCTGCTGACATATTTGCCAAAGGCAAGAGAGGACTTTAAAATATTCAGTTAAAAGTAAAAAAGGTCAACATTTGTCTTTAATTTAACTAGACGTTTTGTTTCCAAAAAGAGTGTCAACAAAAAGAGAAAAGAGAAAAAAAAAAAAAAAAAGCCAGACAGACACAGGCAGACCCATCCTGGCTGTTCTTAGAACTAGATTAAAGACTTGCATGCATAACATGGTCCACAACTCTATGAAGTTTACACTTACAAGATATTAATAATTCAAATCACTGTGCAAAAAGTAATATTACCATGTGAACAAGAAGAGCATCTGAAGAGAAAAAAAACCTACTAAGATGATGTAATTGTATTTTCTTTTTGAAAGTCCTGCAGACACTTGTGCACAGTGGTCTTTTGCCTCCCTATATTATTAGATACTTCCTATAAATACCCTATCACATAGACTCCCTATAAATACCTATAAATATGCTGTTTTCAAAGTATAGCTGAGTACAACGGGATTCAGGGAGAGGAAATTATTTACTGTTCACTGTACAGTGACAGTGAAGCAGTACAAAGCATACCCCTCCTTCCACGTCCCGTGGTTTAAATCAATATGCTGCCTGCTTTCTTTTTTCTTAAAAGCACTTTAATTCAAAGCATAAGATGATCGCAATAACTAAGCAGTCTGCCTCCATAACGTAATGTTTCTCCCAAGATATGTAGGGCAAATGTTTTACCCATCTGGAGTATTCTGTGCTCATGAATTAAATGGTCTGTTTGTTCTTGCACATTCTCCCAAAACATCCTTCTTACCTCATCATATCCAAATAGAGCTGCATAGAAGTTTTCTACCATGCTTCTCATATCTTCCTTTAGAACAACAGAATTAATCTGAAAAATAAACCAGAAAATCATCTGTCCAGGTGCTAAAGAGGAGGTGATGAGAAAACATTACCACTTTCACTCTGAGTGGGCAAAGAACAAACAGTGCCTTGGCCCACATAGGTCGGGCTTTGGCTGTGAGCAACGACGTTGGCGCAGCCGAACATTTCGGAACAAGGTGCAACACGGCTCCGTCACTGCTGTGCGCGGCCGAGAGCAGCGTCACTCACAACAGACGAACGCCAGAAAATTCCGCAGCCAGCAGCGCTGACATGCAGCTACATGAGCAGAGAGAAAACGCAGCTGGGGAGGCAAGGCTGTCCTTTCAGTGGCAGCACAGACTAAGATAATGAGGACTCCTCTGTATTTGAACTATTAAGCAGGTTTTCCAGACCTTGATTCATTCACACAGGTCTTTTAAAAACTTAAGAGGTTTTTCAACTTTTTTTCTAAAGCACGGACTCCAGAGCTGGACGTGGTATTACAGTAAAAGTACTGTGATGCTAAAGATAGAGGCACCATCCCTACCACTGCTCCTTACTTACTTGTCAATATTGACTTTCTTATTCAGGAATCACATGAATTCTGTTTCTACAGCATCTCACTAGAAGCTCAGACTTACTACTTTTTGACTATGACTACATTTCTTTCAGAGTTTGTGACGATCCAGCTACTCCCCCCTATGCTGTAAGTGTGACTCAGTCCAAGTTCCACACGGACTTTTAACTAAATTTACCAGTTGCTTAAATATTTGCTGGTTTCGCCTCAGCCATCCATGGGTTTGCAGAACTGGCCCCACGTGAGCTTAGGATGGAACCGAAAGAGATCACCTGCTAGGTCCAGGCTGAAACGCCTCGCGAGCATCTCTCCTACCAACCGTCCGCTCCTTTTGCGTGTACTTCTCACTGCTGCCAACAAAATGATCTCAAACAGCTCCTCTCCCGAGGGCTAAGCTACACTTCCAACTGGTAAAGCTGCTTCTTCGTATTGACTCTCATGAGAACCCCAAGAGATACTCAGCATTTCTTTCCTACAGATCTCACACGCCGTGTAACTGTAAATGACAAGTAAAATTATCTTCACGCCTGCATACTAGCAGGACATTTATGTATGAGGCTGCACCTTGGGACAGGTTTTACAAAAAAGAAACTGCAGACAGGAATTCAGGGTAGGACATCAGCTCTGCGTTGGAAAAGCACCGCTGTCTGATGTACAGCTTATCACAAGGCTCACGAAAAGCTGTGAAAACTCAACATATCTAAAATCTTAAGATTTATGACAGTGTGAACGACATGTCCTAAATACTTTCTTAGTATCTTTAAGAGTACCCACCTTGGTAACTACGCAACAGCTTCTCTCGCAAAATATCAATTACTTGTTGCTACGCTAGCAGATCTCCAGTTCAAATATTCTTCCATTAAACCACTGTCTTTTTTCATCTGTTGATTTTTATAGAAATGCATACAGTGCAAACACAAGGAAAATTCCTTTTATGTCAGTTACTCATATTTTTCCATTAATATAAACTATTAAAATTCATGCAGATATTTTATAGGCTATCAAGATTTGGAGACTGGTTATTACTGAATGTTTAAAAAAAGAACCAAACATAAGAAATCACAGGGTTAAATGATGACTGCAACTTCTGTAATGACTTAATTAAATTTTTATTGAGTACATAAACTATGATGTCATTTCTACCCAACCATGCTCAAACTTTCTATGCATGTCAGAGATCGTGGTTTTTCTCAATAGAACGTACTTCTAAATAGGCTGCACTTCTGCAGCTCTAATAAGGGGGAGCAGGTCTCATGTAACACACTCCATAAATTATCCTTCCATTTTAAACAAACAAATTCCATGAGTTATTATATATTTGCCACGCACTTTTTATGACATAATAAAAATGTTACCTCAAGGATTACTTAACACATACTACAAATGTTACAGCAGGCAACTGCAAGGGGCAAAGAAAACAAACAGTCCCATTACAGAGACAAGTCCTGGACTATACATCCCCAGGGAAGCAGCTTTCTGTACTAAAAACAAAGAGCAGCAGCTTTAAGTTAGCAAGAAACAGATTGATGAAGGAGATAACCAAGTTAAACAAACATGGCAATAAATACATCTTAAAAGACAAACAGTTTAAAATATAAAATATGACTTTGGGGATGGAGCAGTATCTTAGGCAATAAAATTATATTTAAAGGAATATTGCAGTTTCTAAAGAATCTAACCGGCACTGGTTAAGTACAAACACTGTAGGAAAAAATCCTTCTTTATTAAACAAGAAAAATGAATAAATTCAAATCAGCGTTTGTTGGAAATGCTTCCTCTTTCCAAGCTTGTACATGTTCTTACCATTGGCAAGTTTCATGATCTGGTTGGTCATGATTCTGCTGACTCTTCCGCAGTTTGTTATTGAGAAGAAAAACTGCTAGACAATTCCAAGTGAGTAATTGCTAGTAACAAGAAAAAAATCAGGAACATCTGGAGCTCTTCTAGGGACTTAGCCTCTTCGCCTTCTTCAGAACAACTCATTGCAGAGCTGCCACCAGAAGAAATTTATAGACCAACGTCTAAATTGACACACAGAACACTCTTAGTTCGAAACAAGGAATACATTTTTGGTACCTCTCTCACATTTATGAGACCTTTAAAAAAAGGAAATGTCCAGCTAACCTGTCTTCCTACTACATGTCACAACTTTTCATTGAAAGATTCCATGATCCCACATTCTGCCTGCAAGATGACTACGGCATACAACTACTGCATTTTCATTATTATATTGCAGTAAGAGACTTCATCTTCAGCCTCAACGAGTTCAATAGGCATCGGTCAACAGCCAAGTGGTGAGGCTTCCTGCTACATCAAACAATTTGCAATATCGAGTTCTCAGTTAAGGTTGTGTATTCTAACAAAATTTCTAGGCAAGTTAAGAGCCCACTGCTGTATCGTGTATGCTGGACATGTATGAAAATATCCTATGTATGGGCACAGTTTTTGAAGTGAGAGCTGCTATAGGATTAGTCCATATGGATGTCTTTTGTTGGATCGAGAGCGTCCTTTCATAACCAACCCCCTCATGCCCACTCACCACGCTGTGGTTTACACTGCAGAGAAGTCTCAGCCTGCACAAACTGGAGAACGTGCTCCAAGTCGCTCTACCTGCTCAGAGGCACCCAGCCATGGGATCAGCCCTGAGCCAGCGTGAGGTGAGGAGCACCCCCGGGGAGCAGGGACGCTGGATCATCAACTCTATCACTCAACGAATGTGTTCTCGTCAGACCACACTAAATGCTAGTGCAGAGACAGCTGTGATGTCCACCAGCTCCACCGTTTGAAGGTGCTTCAACAGGAGTTTCTTTCTGTTACGACTTTTGCCAGCATGTGTTGCACCCTCAAGCTACTTTAACACATTAATCCATCCATAAAGCCAGAAGGGACCCTCCTAACTGCCCCTCGTACCAGCACTAGTCATTGAATTTCATGCAGCAATTCCTCTCTTTAGGCCTAAGTTATGGTTGAACTAGATTTTTTTATGAAGAGATTTCAGCCAGAAGAAATGATTAGATCATAGAACCTGACCCTCTGCGTATCACAGACCATTACATTTCACTGAGTTCCCTCTGTACTAAGCTCAGTAAGTTGTGTTTGGCTAAAGCATATCACCCTCACAGTTGAACATGTGTATCTCATTTCATATTTGAATTTTCTGGCTTAAGTTTCCAGCCCCTCGTTCTCATTATACCATTCCTCCTAGAATAAAAAGCCTCTTCTGTACAATGCATTTGCTCCTCTACCTGTACACAGCAGATGTGTCAGCTTTTCAAACTAAGAGTAGGCTCTTCAAGGTCATGTTTACACAAGGTGCACTGATATACTGCGCTCCTGGAGTGGTCACAGTCGCAACAGCAAAGGTTTTATGCTGATACAGCAGAAATTAATCCATCTCTTGTGCAAAACAAGTTATGCAGGTATGAGTACACTTCTGTTGTTACGATGGAGTCTACTCTGGAGACTTCTGTTAGCCACGCTGCCATAAACATCAATCAAGTGCCATTGACACTTTTGATTACTGGAGCAGTCGTTATCGCCAGAAGTTCCTGAAGGAGATACAGGACAAATCTTTCATGATAAAAAAAAGTCACTCCTCAAACATTTAGGCTTTTTTATGAACCTCCTCTCAAGCTGCATTTGGAACGAACGACTTAAAATATGTAGTTTACATTAGTTATAAATAATACACAACCACATATAGTCATATTTGGCCTTTTAAAGTGTTTGCTGCCCTTTGAATAAACGCACATGACATTAAACAGGAAAGCCTGCACACAGCCCTTTTATTTCCTCCTATAACATAACTTATTTGTAGGACAGTAATTTTAAAAACGACTGAGACTGTAGCTGGGATCAAAAAGATTAAATTAATAAAACAGATTAAAAATATCTCCGTAGCAAGAGGTCAAAAAGGCCAGCTCCTTCAGGCAATCTCACATAGTTGTGAAATGACAAAGATATTGCAGATTTTTTTTTTTTTTTTTTTTTTTTTTGAGTCTTTTATTAACCACTCTGCTACTTTGTCTGCAAACAAGCTTACTGGCTTGTAATTAGCTACCGCTGTGAGTCCCCATATACTTTAAAATATTAACTTTTCTGATAAATTCTGTAATTCTCTAATTAAAAGTAATTTTGTAATGCACCTCAGTAGATAATTAACTTCAGAGAATAGTCCTTAAAGCCTTTTTCAATATTCAGTGACAACCTACCTCAATACTGTATTAACCAGACAAATCTAAATCGTAGATTGTATCAGAACCAGTTCCTGCCCAAAATCTTCAATCCATAAAAACATGTTAATTGAAAAAGACCTTTGCATGTTCTGCTACCTTCATAACAACTGCATAATCGTCAATAACACTCCTTAGAGCATGTTTAGTTCAAGCAGACATAGAACAGCAAGTTAGACAACATTATCTACATATTTCAGCAAAACCAGATGGTGACCTCTAGCTGTCTAGCATCAAGAAAATGAGGCATGTTTCTGTCTTGCAGTCTATTAATTTGTGTTATGGTTTGAAGG